CTTTTTTTTAAGGTTTATTTATTCATTCTTGAGAGAGAGAGAGGACGAGGCGGGGGGGGCAGAGAGAGAGAGAGAATCCCAAGCAGCTTCCACACTGTCAGCGCAGAGCCCGATGTGGGGCTTAATCTCACAAACTGGGAGATCCTGACCTGAGCCCAGATCAAGAGTTGGTCGCTTAACTGTGCCACCCAGGCACCCCTAGAATGAATACTTTTTAATGTGAATCTCTGTTTATCATAGAATTTGACTTTTATTGCAACCTTCAGTTGCATTTCACATATGAGGAAGCTGAGATATACTACTTTTACTTCTGGAATAATTTTACTTCTGGAATAATACCTAATAATATACTACAGTATAATTAAATATTCACTATTTTGTGAATACTGTTCAAGGGCCCTAGGAGACACAGTACAGAAGAAATAAAAGACGGTCTTTTTCCAAGTCCAAGAACGTGAAATCCACGTGTTGAGTATTTGTGGTGTGTGTGTGTGTGTGTGAATGTACAGGAGTCTGGTTTGACCTGTAGCCTCCTACTGGGTCCATCTCTGCGGTGCAGACCTGCATCTGGAGACTTAGCAAGACCAACCCAACAGAAGTCCACTGATCAGAGACCGAGGAGCCTCCTGGGAAGACATGGACACAGCTCTAACTTGATCCGGTGATAAAATCTTAGATGTCAGAGGGAAGTAGAACTTCCAGAACTACTAATACACCCTCTGCAGATACCCAGAAGTGTTTGCTGGGTTGGTGGTAACTGAGGTCAGGAAAACGTAACAACCAATGAAGTGCAGACTTTTACTCCCGATGTGCCCCTGTCTTTATGTACAAGCCAGTGAGGTCTGGGAGGTTATAAGTTGAAACTTCCCTCTGACAGTCACCGAGAGAGTGGAAAACAACGTGCATTGTCTTCTCTTTCTGCTTAGTTTACAGAACCCCAACATTATTTAGATGGCGACATATTTGGGGCAGGTGAGCCTCTTCTTCTGTCCCACAGATTAAACCATATTTGGTCTAAGCCAGGCATGATAATTCTGTTTTCTCATGATAATTCTATTTGCTCATGAGGGTTTTAGAGTAGTGCACGGTCCAAGGCTTTTCCCACCAGGGAAGTGAGCTCCCTTTATGGCTTTCGTGTGGTGGCATGAGCAAGTGATGTTTGCTGTAGTGGCAGCCTCTTTGTGACCATGAGGCAATAAGCCCAAGATGGAACATGGCAAAGCCAAAAGACAGAGAGAGTCTGGGTCTTTGACAACATCTCTAAGTATTGCGCCTGCTCTGGGGCCATCTGGATGCCACCTGGATTCTGCTCTGGCAGCTGAGGCAAGATGGAGCAGGAGTGGGAGATAGGAGAACGGGTGCCAGCCATCCGGAAGTCTCCAGAGGGTCATTTGCTTCACAAAATGTACCCCTCCACTTTCACCAGTTAAAGGCCCCACTTGGACTTCTAGGACTCTACTCCTAATTTATCCAAATGCTCCTGTCACTGGAGTAGTTTTCAAGGAGTTTAGGTGCTACCTGTCCTCACATGGCAGATGTGAGCCCCTGTTAGCCTGACCCCTGTGAGGTCAGTTTTGTTCTTCCATCTTAATGCATGAGAAAACTGTGGCTTAGAAAGGTGAATTAACTTGCCCAAGGTCAGCCTCAGAGTTCGGAATCAAACCTGGGCTCTCTGCCGCTGAGACCCGGGCTCTGTTCACTGCACCCCAGTTGCTTTCGAGACTAATCAGGACTCCCTCTAGACTGCACGCTTTCTCCTGTTTTCTCAACAATTGACTCAGCCATTCCTGCCACCCCCAAGGACCCTGTGAGTCCAGTTCAAATCCCAGCATGGGTTTTGGGCTGGGGTTTAATGGAGTCAGGATAAATTCGATGCATTTCACGTAAACTTGGTGAAGAGGAGCGGGTGGCCGTGGAGCGAAGGGCACTGTGCCAGGCGGGGGCCGGCTGGGGAGAGGACAGAGAAGAGGGAGGCTCTGCTGGTGGGTGTCCAGAGGTGGACTCCTGTCACGTGGAACTCAGCAGGCTACAACCCAGGCAGGGCTAGGGCACAGCCTTGCACGGGGGGCAGCGTTCCTACCTGGGGCGATTCGGGGAAAGTTTCCCGAAGGAGGCTCTGAAAAAGGAAAATGGGGATTCCAGGCACAGAAAATGCTGGAGCTGAGCCCAGGGCCTGGAGGCTGCAGAGTGTACGGGAAACACTCACAGCAACCAGCTGGCTTCCGTCCCGCCTCTTCTTCCTTGCCAACTCTCCAGCTACTGTTGCCAGATGATGCCCTGATCCATCATCGCTCTGCTCAGACACCTCCCTGGGCTGGTGCCCCACACCTCCAGGAGAACAGCCCAACACTCCATCCTCGACGTTGAAGCCTTCCCTGGTCGGGCCATCTTCCTCGCTCTACTCTCCTAGGCACGGCTGTCCCTGAGTGAGCCCCTTGCCCTCACCTCTGCCCGGCACGGCACCCCACCAGGATACCCCCTCACTGCCAAGCTCTGCCCACTCTGCAAGAGCCCCCTGTCCAAGGAGCCTCCCCTGACTCTTTCACCGTCCCCCCACCCCCCCACCCCAAGGAAATACTCTTGGTCAAGCTCCTTGACCTCTCCGAGGTTCCGGTTCATCATCCACGGGGTAACAGTAGTTTGTGTCGAGTGCTATGGGAATGTGGGGTGGTAGAGGAGGTGTATTAGATCTCGGATAGCCAGGGCGTGGCATTTGTGGGCTCTCCAATGTTTTAACATAAAATCAGGCTGTTGTGGTTTTTCCATTGTGCACGTAACAAAAGCACCTAGAAAATGGAGAAAAAAGTCCCCTCCGGTAACCTCACCCATCCAGGACATTGACTGTAAATGCTTTTGGAAAATGTGTGGCTCTTGCTATACGGAGGCAGATATGACTGGCCACGACTGTTGGAGGCTGATGGGTTTTGTTGTTATTACGGCTACGTTGAGATATAATTCATATACCATACAATCCACCTATTTAAAGTGTACAATTCGTTTTTTTTTTTTTAGTATATTCACAGAGTTCTGCAACCATTACTACATTTCGTATATTTAGTATATTTTCATCATCTCTATCCGTTAGCAGTCACCTCCATGTTTTATGATTTATTATTTTTATTTTTATTGTTTCTGTTTAACATTATTTTACAAGCATCTTTTCCATTGCCTGGAAATCTTTTTAACTACCTTGTCTGGTGACGGCTAGCAAAGGCTTTGGGGTAGGGGAATAGCATGGCCGGGGTAGGGGAATAGCATGGCCGGGTGTGTTCTAGAATGCTAGCATTGGTGGGGACCAGAGAAACTTGACTGAGGTCGCAGGGCAGAGACGAGGGAGGGACGATGGGAACGAGCTGTGAGGAGGAACCCACCTGAGACACTGCTTCAGGGTGGAGAGGAGCAAAGCTCCGGAAGCAGAATTGGTAACACTACCGATTTGGATGTCGGGAAGGACGGAGGAGGGTGTGGGTGCATTTCCTGGATGAAGGTGGGTGGTAAGGGCAATAACTGAGTCCCAGAAGGAGGAGAGGGCACAGGTTTGGGACAGAGATGAACAGGAGCTTGATTTTGGACTTGCTGGATTCGGAGGCCCTCAGGCTCTGCCAGAGGAGTTGAACATTCTGCAGCGTGGTGCTCAGGTCTGGCGCTCAGGGGTCACGGAAAGGCTTGAAAGTTAAGGGTATAAGGACCAAAGGTGAAGCCTTAGGAGCCCGAGCTTAGCCAGGGTGGGCGTGAAGGACAAAGAGAGGGCCCGAGGAACATTGGCCTCTGGTGGGGGGAAGGGGGGGGGG